TTGGATAGGAATCATTGTCACTTCATAGAAATATAGTTTGTAATATATTTTCAGCATATGATATATACATATAGAATTCACACAAATCCACGAGTGAAAGGCACACATTGAAATTATGATAGCCTGATATTCGTTTTCACAAAAGTATTGAATATTTTCCTGCTATTATATATTAATACTAAACCGTATATTTTATATTAATGACAAACTGATTCTTCTACATATTTTACATTTCTTTGAAGATTTATTTCGTCGGGATAATTAAGTAAAATTCTTATTTTTTGAAACAATTTTCTACAAATTTCTTTATTACATTTTCACGAAACACAATTAATATACTATTTGTTCTACCTATCAAAAATATTTCATAAATTTCCCTCTTATTTCATTAATTTTGTATCTGCCCAAGAATACTATGTAAGTTGGTTTAACGTCTCATATACTTCATTCCTACATCAAATTTTTCTATTATAATTCCAAAATATAAATAAATTTGCCTATTTTCGAAGAAATAATTTCTTTTTTTTAATAACAATGTCTATTCCAAATACTAATAAATTCGTCAGATTCAATGCATTTTTTCAAACAATTTCAATAATTTCTTAATTTTGAAAAGTAGATTTATTACAATTGTTTTATCCTTTAAACGTAAGTTTCTGAATATATTTACAATTATACTCTTGAAAATGTGCAATATGACATAAATTTATCTACAAAAAAGTACAACTCATGAAACTAACTATGCATATTGCTAATATATGTAAATGAAATAAAAATGCGCAGTTTTTAATTATTGTTGACTTACTAAATACAATTACAACAATTAATGAGGAAATAAATCTGCATCTCTCAATTAATAAACAATTTGCTTTGATATTTTGTTTATCAAAATACTATTTTTAAAACATTTACATTTATACACTTATAAACATCAAAAAGTATTTGAACTATTCAAATTAATTAAAAAACAAAAAGAAAAAGTAAAACGAATAAATATTGATGATTACAAGTATATAAGTTACTAATATACAGCATAAAAGCACGTTGACCTTTGTAGTTATCCATTCTGCACAGTTCTATTTTAATTGTATGTTTTAAACACGTAAAAGATCATATGTTTTTACATTCATGGTTCCATTGCACAGTACATCTCAAATGAAGTATTAAGATTTTAATGATTTCAATGCAGTTTTTGTTGACAATCATATGTTTTCAAACACATGTATTTTTCAATATTTTATAAAATAATCATTACCGTTGCTTAGTAAGTAAAAAAATATTTTCTAAAATTGTATTTGCATAAATTATTATACAGGTATTAAACTACTGTTATAATTGATAATTTTGCAAATTAAGTACACACCTTAGAAAAACTGAAAGATATTTATTAAGTTTATTAAACTAGAAACTCAGATATTGTAACCTTTAAGACATGTATAATATATACATTTCAATTGAAAACTAGTCTTATATTCTCAATCACAGCCACTGAATAGAAAGAAAAATATTTCTAATACTTTTCAAGTTTCAACATATGTTTTATGAATTTTCCTATTTTTTATTATGACTAACTTCAATGTGTTCATTTTTAATTTCTGTCTACTAATAAAAATTCTCATTTATTAAAGAACAATTTTCTTTAGAGAGAAGTGTCTGTGCAGAACCATATAATGTGATATAAAATGCTATTGTAATAAATATACAGTTAAGAATGATGTTTTACTTAACATTTATATACTGTACAATGATTGTACTTTTCTTTCTTTTTTCAAAAACTATTATTCTGTAAAAATTTTTATTAGTAATGAAAACATTAATTTTTTTCCATTTTTCAACACAAAGTAATTCATCTTGTATTGTATATGAAATGTTGGTTAAAACGATTGATATTTTAATTGAAAATAGTATCATTATTTCTCAATAACTGCTATATACTTAATACCTTAAATTATGTTAAATTCATGTCAGAAAGTAAAACATGATTACATGTACTATATTTTCTAATATCACCTTGGTAAGAAATCAACCTATAGACAAAATAAGTTTCTATATTGTATACATAAGTATGTACAAATGGGTATCTGTAGATTTTGCATTTTGCAATCATATAAGGACTTTTTGATAATTATTTCTTGTCCTTGCATCACAAATACTTCATAATGCATTCGTTGTACTGTATCAGATTAATTTCTTACCTGAAAGCTTAATATCTAATTGAAATGTAGGTTTTGAAAAAGTATTAACAAGGAAACAGAAACTGTTAAAATTATTGTTTCAATGACTAGTAAACTAGATACCAAGCAGTAGTTTTAAGTATGTATATAATCCTATTTTTTAATTTTTCATGTGCAAATTGATAAATATTTACTAATTTTTTTCTTTTTTATGAAATAATTTAAAACTAAAGAAGAGTAATTTTTTAATTAAAAAACGAGTACATAAATTGCTGTCTCTTTATACCTGTTTAAATAGATTTTAAGGGATAAAACTAATATATCATAATTAATTCACATTCATATCTCATTATTGTACTGTGCAATCCTACATGTAATATTTACAAAAATATGTATCCCATAAGTGCCCAGTTTGCACTGATTTGTTATGTGCACAAGTCATATGAGAATCCAGATCTTTTCTTTAGTCAGGTTTATATATGGGTATTTTTGGAATAAATTCAATTAAAAGAACCTGGAATACAAAAGGAGAAAACAAATAAGTGTGTGTTTGTATGTAAACAAAGATCAATACTTAAGAATAGCTTAGACAATGATGTAACTAGAAGTATAAACTCATTTAAACTAACAAGATTTCAATTATATACATAATCAAGAAAGTGAACTTGGCTTTCTTGAAGAAATTAATAATATATGAGAGAATAATTTGATTTCATAGAATTAATATAAATAAAATAATTGTAATAATGTTTCTATTTAAAATTAAATCTTAAAACAGAATGTATTAAAACTTTGTGTATACATGGTAAAAATAAATAAAGTATTCATTGTCTTTTTATTTACTTACATATTCCATCATGGACGAAGTATCACATCTTTGTTTTGCCAGTCTCCAATGTAATCCAAGTTTGTGATACAGCCTACTGTTTTCCCATTCTAATAATTTGTTCAATGAATGTTGTGTCTATAAAAAGTATAATAATAATTGTTTATATTAATTCATACCTCACTGTGAATCTTATGTATGTTATTACAAAGTATTGTCATTAATATGATCACACATAATGTGAAGATATTTTTTTATGAAAATTATGTATTTACCCTTTTACTCAAACAAATAACAGGCCAAAGAGAACATCCTAATGTACAGCAGCAGCAAACACAACCACAGAATAACCACTTAACATTAACAGGTAATGTTTTTTTTAGCACACTGTTTATTCTCATAACAGTTGCTTTAAATTCTTCTGGAGCAACACGTGACACCAGGCCATTTGGAAATTCTGATTCAAAACGGTTACTAAGTCCAAATCTAGAACAAACAAGTACAGTCATAATTTATTACATTAAACAAAAATATTTTTAATTAAATTTCATTTGTAGAAATAAAATAAAAAAAGTATTATAAAAAATTACATATCACGCCAATTTTATCATATCTTTCAAAATATGTATTTTTAGAGTAAAAAAAAAAATGGTTCAAAATAAAAAAAATTAAATTCGGTACAAAAATAATTTGCAGCTTTTGACTCTTTGTTCTGAAACCGAAACATACAATCTATGTATGCAAAAAATTAAGAAAATACAATTTTGCTTACACAGTCATGTTACCGGCTCCTCGAATAACTATAGGATCTGGCACCATAGTCACGTAATGTTCTTCCAAATTTTGTTCATTTTCTTCTTCTTCTTCATAAATCGCGTCAAAATCTGCCATTGTGTAATATTCAACGGTTCCCGCTCTACGAGCAACACAGCTATATCGTCGCAACAAAACGACGTTTATTCTGTTGAAAGGCAGGGGCCTTTTTCATTTATATTTAACAAGGAATTACAACGTGTATAGATTGACTTTAAGTGTTATGCGTAAACATTTTCGTGGCTATGAATAATAGGCCAAGCAGCAAACATTTAGTTGAAAATTATTTGCAACAACACTATACACAACACAACACACGACGCGCACTGCAGATGCTCACAGCTCATCAATTTTTCATTCAATGCGATTTCAGGTTCGCCAACGTTATAATTTATGAACGCGTTTTTAGGTTAAAAAATGGGCAGCACTGCTAAGTGAGAATAGGTGTGGTTTTATTAAAACTATCCTTTGTACAGTATGGGTCATTATTTGTAGTATAATTGCGAAGGGGGTGATTCTTTAGACAAAATTAAAACAAAATTGTCTTAAAAATCAATTTTAAAATGCCACTGTATACACATATGACTAGGTACACAAGTACATACATGACGAAGTATGATTTGTATTACATCCGTAGAGGATTTTTTGTACATGTCTTTATTTTCAAGAAAATTGATATTAAAAATTTGTAAACTTGAGTGCGATTTAGCTATTACATTATTTTACTATTGGTTATATTTATCCATATTAGTGTTTAGAGACATTCATGATAAAACATATTTGCACTTTAATATTTTCGTTTTTTTGATTTTGAAATTAGTCAAAATAATGTAAAAGCTAAAAAATAAGTAAAAAT